ATGCTCTGCAGGTGAGTTCCACAGACATTTCATTTTCAGTAGGGTAAACTGAAGAATTTCTGTTTTCAGTCTAGGTTCTGGAGAGGGCTATGCTCTGGTGGTGCAATCTTTTTCTGCTTATTCCTCTCTAGAGTGACCAGTGTCTCTTTCAATCTGTCATTGTCTCAGTTCTGTCTTTTCCCAAGAGCTGACATCTCATCCTAGGCCCGGTCTCCTCACTTATCCAGTCCCAAGTCTCTATTTTTCAGGCTTCACATTTCAGTCCTGCATATTCCAGTTGCTCATCATGACTCTATCCAAGTCCCAGTCTCTTTGCTCAGCTGGTCCCAATTCTCCTTTTGCACCAGTGACCCTGATCAGAACTGTCTCTTCCCTTTTGCTCCTTGTAGGCATTCTCATGCCAATTTTAGTCTTTCCCTGTCCCCAGCTCTTCATCCAATACAAGTTACTCATAATCCATTCCTTTCACAACGCCCTTCCCAGTTTAATTTCCTCAACCCTGCTGGCTTCTCTTTGTCCCAATACATTCCTTTTCTCACCTACTTGTGTGCCCTCTGCATTTAAGACTGGTACCTTTCTCTTGGGTGCTGCTTGGGCACAAGTAGCCTTTAAAAGCCTAGAGTCTACAAGCTCCCATCATCAGTTACAGACCTAGCCTAGTTCCAAATGGGCCCCACAGGCGTCAAGCAGTGCAGTTACAGGCAAAGTCCTGCTGAGGCTTGGGCTGAAGAATGCTCCCTTTTAGCTGCTCTGCCAGGATGCCACATGCAGTCCAGCTGGAGGTGGGAGTCAATGGAATATGCACAATGAGAAGGTTTTGGCTCTAAGGCTTTAACATGAAGCATGTACAAGTTTAGATTTTTAAAAGGCTTGTCATTCACCCAAATTTGGGCAGACTTTCAGGTGAATAGCAAAAGCCTATTTTCAGACACCAGACACCACAGTCTCTTTGGGGCATGGGCCAGGCATGCTCAAGGCCCTTGGTGCCAGGACCTGCTGCAGCTTTAATAGTCAAGCTTTCCCCTTCTAAATTTCCAGTCTCTGCTAAAAACATGCAGGAAGTAAAGATTCTTAATTAAATGGTGGTAAGAAATGTAGCCTGGCAAAACATCTCTCCTGACCCCCTTCCCTCTCATCCCCATCCCACTCATCCAAAATAGTTGAATCATTTGGGTTAAAATTTTCCCAAACAAAAATCAGCGTGAGGCAGGGACCCAGCATGGGAAAAGGCATCCCACATTATTGAATTTTGGAGGTTATAAGCAACTGAAAACAGGATCTTATAATGAGAAATGTCAGATACATTAATGGAGTGGTGGCATTTCCATCTCTCTCCATGATAACTTCTACTTCAGGAGGCCTGGATATGTCAGAAATGGGTTTCTGTGCCTTTTTCTCTAGTTCACCAGCTTGAAAGATTTTCCGTTTCATTTATTATATAGTTGATAGCTTGTATGTAAGATGCAAGGCTCCTGATAGAATACACGCGCCGCCACCAACTCTGCACTAATTGGCAGACACAGCCAAAAGCCAAGATTGCATAGACCATGGAGGCAGATGTACCCCTGTCGATCCTTGAATATCGGTGCGCTAGAGAGACAATGGGTGTGGGTAGTTTATCGTACCTTTACCCTGTAGAACAGACTTAATTTCATAGCAGTGTTAATTTCACAGCACTCATTAAAACTGGATCGGAGGCCATTTTAATGGAAGTTTGAAGGACTGTACATGTAACTTACAAGTCATTCATGGTGCTGCACAAAAACTGGCAAATATAAACTTAAGGGAGGGGGAAAGCTAGAGTTGGGGCACTCAGGGTGAGAATGGCCCCATATTTCCTGAGGAAGTCATACTGCTGAGAAGGAGATAGGCAGTAACGCCAGACCTTCCTACTCATTCTCTGAACTCCACCTGGCTGGATTCTAAATCCACAGGATCACCAGTGTTTTGAGGCTGCCATACCTGCAGCCTATGTGAGATTATAACCTTTCTTCATAGAGAAGCATTCCTCTGAAACTCTCATTTTGAGTTTTTGCAATAATATTTTCCATCCTGTGCGGCTTTTATTACAAGAGAGGAGTATGAGGCCCTGATGTGCTATGCTCCAAGAAGCTATTTTGGGAACAAATTTAATATAAAAAAATGATGATCCTATATTACTTGAATTGCAGAAGCACCCACAAGCCCCAAGAAAAGTGAAAGAGGAAGAATGTGCAGTCCCTGCTCTGTAGAGTTTTCACTCCACTTTATTGGTAAGTAATTGGCACAGTTTAAAATATTTCAGGAAATATAAATAGATAGAAATAAACAAGTCACAATAAGTAAGGACTAGCCAAATTGTTCTTCAGATTTTCAACAGCAGATTGCATTTGACTGAAAAATAGCACAGCAGTATAATACAGAGTATCCATCTAATACTGTCCTCAGATACACACACGCATAAATCCCACTGGCTCCAATGGGATTGGCATGCAGATAAATACTGAAAGGATTGGGCTGTGTATTTACAATGTTTTTTTAAAAGCTTTCAGAACAAGTTACAGGACATAAATGATATAATGTCCTAAACACACATGTTAATATCATTGTGAAGTAAATATTCTTCTTCATTGTTGTCGAATAAGGAATGTCAGTTATTTTTGGAATAGACACAGCTCTTCATTACTTACATGTAGGCTTTTAGAATGAAGGTGGGTTGATTAAGTTGAATCTTGGTTATGTTGGTAAGACATATTTTGATGCTTAGAAGTCAGGCCATAAATAACATTATCCTGATGTTTGAACAGTGCAAAATGTTTAAAACTTGACATCCATGTTAAAAAGACTAAATAATCATAATTTCAGTACTTCAGGGAAAAATGGAGCAAGAACCTCATAAGTTTGACTAGTCTAAGATGGTAAGAATGTTATAAATATTACAGTGGTTGCACCTGCTACTGGTTGCCAACCCCAGTGGTATTGATTAGAGGCTCTTTGAAGGTTTTATTGTTACTGGTACAGGGGGAATATTTACAACTTGTGCGTTACTCATCTAGACTAAAAGGACAGCAGGAAAGAGTAAAGTGCTCTTATATTAACAAAATTATTTTTCACTTCTGTATTATTGTTGTACAAGAATTCATATAGGGGCCAAGAGTTATTTAATTCTCTTCCCATTGCTGTTCTGAGTGACCTTTCATTTTTTGCAGAGGAAAAAAGGCACCTCAAAATATTGAAGGGGGACAACAATTTATTTTCCCCAGTGCTCCTCCCCCACAAAAAAACCAGCCAGCATTTGAGCCCTGTAAACCCCATTCAAGTCCATGGAAAGACTCATACTGAATCCAGTGAACTTTGGATCTGAAGATAGAGATCCAAATATGTAGCAGTGTTTATAATTGTACTGTATAGATATACACACACCAGTTTAACAAGTTACTAGTAGAGGAGTGGGATAGGTAGAACAAGGGAAAGTCAGCCTTTCAAATTAAGGGCACAGGCTATAGTTTTCTCAATTAGAAACTTGATAATTTTTTAGGCTATACTATACTTTGTTTCAGATGAAATGTCATCTGCTAGTGATAATCAAAAGAGCAGTATGCCTAATTTAGAAGCAAAATGCTATTGTTAAACTGAAATGTAACACTTTAAAGCCAAGCAACTATCTGAAGCTTACATTTATTTGTTAAGTTAAGCAAAACATAGTCTGCACTCTTTACAAGTAGCAGATCCAGGCACAGGCAAGTATGCAGGATGTATACCCACCCAGGACACCATCCAAGATGGACTGTTCCTGCAACATGTATAAGTCTGTGGTTTTCAGCTTTTTCAGACTTGAGAAACCCATCCATAGACTCAAGGTATCCCACAAAAAATGCCAGTTTTCACTCTGGTTTTTGACTATATAAACATAATAGAGCAATTTTTCTATTGCAAAGAACTCAGAAAGACCACCACAGGTCAGAAAGTTTTTAACACTATGGATTGTTTTTATCTCATGAATCGTATTTGTACATGTTAAGTGTTCACATTATGTGACACACCACATCATCCCTGAAAGGATCTGGAGGCACCCCAGGGCACTGTGGCACCTTGGTTGAGAGTCACTGATATGTGAATAAGGTTGCACGCTTGAGTAGTAAAATAGAGGTCAATGAAGCTTCCCAGCTGTGTATAAGTACTAACACACATACAGGGACTGTAAACACAGGGTCTTATTTGTGCCCTTTATTTATTAAAGCTTGATATGGTGCTAATAACTCTTGTGCAAGGCCGATTTCTGTACAAGAAATACATTTGCTTCCCAAACTGTTTTGACAGGTTCAATAAATAAGCTTCCCCACCCGCCAAGACCTAATTTAAGGAACAGTTTTTTTAGCCTAATTATAACCTGCTTGGCTTTATTCTTACATAGCATGTTCCACCTCTTTAGCACATTCTTAAATCATAAAATCATGCAAACCTTTTTTTGTCTGTCAGCCGTGCTTTATTTTTTCTTAACTGGCATGTGGTCCCCGGACTGATCAGAAGAAAAAGTGGGTGCTCCTTCCCATCATGGCAAGGTTCCCCGGGGAGCCTGGGGAACAATTCTTTGCTTTTGCTTCTCTCCCTACCCTTTCCCCACTTTTCTTTTGTCCTCTCCCTTATCTATTTCATCCTCCCCGCTGTTTCTGTAGCACTGCCATCTTATCCCTCTCACTTCTCCATCACTTGCTGCCCCCAGCCCAGCGTGGCCTTTCTTTCTCGCCCTTCTTCCCCCACTTTTCCTGACGCTGGTTTAGGTTCAGAAGCGCCAGCGCCAGCGCCGTGCACATGGAAGAGAAGCGCCCATGAGCCCTGGTAGCCCGAGGAATCAGGGCTCGTGGTAGAAGCGATCTCTTTTATCAGACCAACTACATTGTTGCAAAAAAATATTCTGCCGGCTCCGCGTCTCCCCCGGGGGAGCTGCAGCATCCAGCCCTGGCATCTTCCCCTGGCGGAAGCGCAACCATTTGAAGGGAACGGGGGAAAATCCTGGGCGGGGGCTTGCACAGGTTGCTCCGTGCTCCCTGCTCGGCCGCCTGGCAGTGGGAGCGGGGCATGTGCGGAGAAGGAGGCTGGAGGGCGGGGGCTGCTCTGGTCGGGGCTGAAGTTGGGCTGCGTGTGTGCAACACGGGGCGGGGGCGCGGCGCCGGGACCGACTCGCCGTCCGCAGATCCGCGCATTTCCAGCCCGATGGCCTCGGGCACGAGCAAGAGCCGTCAGCCCGGGACTTGCAATGGACCCCAAGGCGCGCGCTGCAGCCCGGCAGAGGAGTGCAGCGGGGAGATCCACACGAAAATGTGCAAGAAGATCGCCCAGCTCACCAAGGTAAGGCAGGGCTCCGCTCGGCGCTTGCTGCTTGGAAACTTCCCATCCTCCTGCAGGGAGGAGAGCACAAGGATGCCGGGGGGGACCCGCGTGCGCAAACTTCACTGCAAATCGCGGCCCTTCGGGGGGTACAGATCGGCCGTGCACACTCCCACGTGCCGTGGCCAGCCTGTCACCCGGCCTTTTTCTCCCCTACGTTATAAGGATCAGCTGGGGCTGGAGGATGCTGCTCTCAGAGCTGGACCTCGGCTGCGTGCAGTGTAACGCTGCCATGTAGAGCCGTGGTCGTGAATGCGTGCAAACAGCAAAAATATCCTCCGGGGAGAGGGAAGGGAGGGGAGAGCTGCCCACATTACCCTGCCGTGCATTTGCATCTGTAGTCTGTAAGCGGTATTATCCTGTTTCATACTGGGTTATAGTAGTGGAGCTCTCGCAGCTTGTCCGTTTTATATAGCAGGCGAGAATCAAAAATCTCAAGCAGCACTAACTGTCTGCTCAGCTCCTTTGTCAGTCTAAGGGGGAAAAAAATCCCTAGCTCCCGAAATGCGATCGATTGGTCTCTGTGTCCACAGGGGACAGGGGAATAAGTAATGGGCTCAAATTACAAGGGAGATTTAGGTTAGATAGTAGGGATAACTTTGACTATGAGGGTGGGCAAGAACTGGAACACCACCCACAGAGGTTCTGAAATCTTTGTGGAAGTTTTTAATATTTTTCTGGGACAGGACCAAGTTGGAACAGATGACCGTATGAAGTACCTCTCCCAGCCCTATTAATTGTCTAAGTCCATATTTTCCCCTTCCCTCTTTTTAGATTATCTTGTGCACTCTCCCTGATCTAACAGGACACAGTATCAGTTCTGTATAGAGTCCAGCAATTTACTCACCTCTGGTCTTTTCTTCATTAATTAAAGCACTAACTACAAATGTAACTTAGAAATACATGAAGAGAGAGACACAAATATAGTGTGAAAGTTAAACATTAAGAGGTAAATATTCCCTGGGAAGGGTTACTGTATTTTAGTATTTGTGACTTCACTTTTTCCTATCGAAGAAAAAATACAGGCATGTGTTGTATTTAAACTTGTACAAGTCCATGCAGATATGTTTACACACAAGTATTTTGTTTCTATGTGCATGTATATATAGTAATTCTATATTTATTTTTATGTACACAGATGGCTGCACATTTTGCACATGAATACACATATGTACGTTAGCACACTCTTTGATCTTGCAGTAAATGTAAGCTAACAATCCAAATACACATGTGGCATACATTTTCACTACTTGAGACATTCAAACCCTGCTGCTGACTGGCATGTCCATTGAGGCTCTGGGGCCCCAGATTACGTAGGAGGCCATGACAACCCAGTCACATCCTTCTAACTTCTAGCAGCCTGTTGGTAACTCACGGGCCAGATCTGACCTGTGAAACATCATGTTTGACACCCCTGTTGCTATAGGAATGAAGCCAATATAAACAGGATTGGATTAACGCATAGGCAAACTAGGCACATGCCTAGGGCCCTTTTCCTCCATGGCAGTGGCGCAAATGGCCCTGTCTGCTTCCCTTCCTCTCCACCAGCCTCACTGCGGCGGTGGCTGCTTCCTAGTGGCGGCGGCTGCTTCCTAGTGGCGGCTTCAAGCCCCACTCCCTGCAGGTGGCAGCGCTGGGGTGGTGAGGGGGGGTCCGGGTAGTTTTTTGCCTAAGGCCCACTAAATGATTAATCTGGCCCTGAATATAAGTACTTAAAGAAACAGTGTTACTTTTTTATTTATCCCAACCATTTCCTCATCCCACAACAAAATGGGTGGAAAGGAGATAGCAAGTGATTATTAAGATTTCTTGAAATGACTACGGGGTGTAGGTTGTAGCCGTGTTCGTCTAAGGACATAGGCAGACAAGGTTCTTTGGGCGAATCTGATATCTTTTATTAGACCAACTGAAATAGCTGGAAAACAATTATTAAGCAAGCTTTCGGGTTTGAAAACCTTTCGTCAGGCTAAGGAAGTCTCTGCAGTTGGTGTGTGCTCTTCCTGGATGGAATGAAAAAGTAAAGAATCCAGAAGCTGGTCTGGTATGCATACAAGACAGGTAGTCAGTGAAAATGTAGACTGAGGAGTCAATGGGTGAGAGACAGGCTGGGGAGAGGGGGGAAGAGAGAAGGGGGTCTTTTTTGATCTGCTGCTCAGTTTCTGTCACTGGGCCAAGTTCACCTGTAGGTAAAGATTAAAGATGTCTGAAGCCTTCTAACAACTACTCTAATTTTCTGTTCCATGGAGTAACCAAGAGGGTTTGCAGAAATGATTTGAGTTGATTCATCAGGTTTACAATCAAAAGTTGAGCTTTTGAATTACTTCCTTCTCTCTCCCATTTGAGAAACAATAGTGAGGATTGTATTTGTTAGTTAATTTTTTTTTTAAAAGATCATAGATTGTAATTTGCAGCACTGGAATTTCATAGGGTCATTAACTCAGCCACTGCAGGTGATCCATCCAGAGCAGACTTGAAGTGTATTGCTAAGAGAGGTATGGTGAAGTTTGTATTGTCAAGACTCATATTGAGCTTGTGGCTAAATAGAAGATTTTGGTGCAGTACCTTCTACAAGCGGTAGTCATACAGAAAAGCTGTTTTTAAAGTATCTTTAATTCCAATTAAATATTGAGAGAAATTTTTAATTCTTTGCCAAGATAGAGAATAACAAAATAGTGTTTTGTAAAATTAATTTATCTTTGTATTAGAAAAATAATTACCATTTTCCATTAGTAGTAAAACTCACTTCAGATGTTTCCAAAGCCCTTTACATTCTTGCGTATCATTGGTTAAGGGCTTAAAGTTCTTTGTTAAAATTCCACCATTAAATCAAAGGTATACGTTTTTGCTTGTGTAAAAGTTACTCACTGCTAAATCATCTAAGCTGGAGATGATTTATTCCTGAAGCTCATAAAATACTTCTGAAAAGCAAATGCCTAAAGTTGCTGGATGTGGCTTTTCTGTACCTTTTTTTTTTTTTTTTTTTGCAATTAGATACTTACTAAGGTTGTGCTGGTAGAGAGCTCATTGCAAAATTGGGGAGAGGGGTAGTTACTTGCTTACTTGTTTTTATAGATGCAGTGATATTATGTTAGACCCTCAAAAAGAAACAAAGGCAGAAAAATCTCTCATGCATTCCACCAGGCCTTAATTTGGCCCCTGAAAAAATTACTTCTCTTTAGGGAAAAAAGGCAAAGTATGTTAGCTTGACAGCTTTGAGGGGCTCTCTTCTTATTGGCCACCTTCTCCTAGCCAGATTCCAGATTGCAATAAATTGGCCCTTCAGGGTCAACTGAATATAATATTCTGCCCCTTTTCATATATTAAGATCCCAACTTAATGTAAAGATTGCTGCTCTGTGTCCTGAAAGATCTGCCTCCACCCATCCCAGGATTAGAAGAGTTTTCACTGGTAGCAGAAATAATGTTATGTGTAATAGCCAAATATGCAGGTTCACGCTCTGTTTAATTCCTAGAAAATGAATGTGAAACACATGAGATATGGCTGGTATGTTGTGACTATGCTTTATTCCCTTCCCTGTTGTGTACTAATCACTAGTTCCCTGGATCAAGTTATACATTGGAAACTGGGATCCATTATAATGCTATACTAATTTACTCCCTTTCAACAGTGTCTAATTTTATCAAAGAAGTAGGCCTATAACCAGGGATCCTGGTTTCTGTTCTCTGCAGAAAAACACGGATTTTGCTCCTTGAAAGAGAAAAATACAGATTTTCCTCTTAGAAGCAGGAAACTGCAGGTTTCCCCTTTCAGGCTGGAAGTGTTCCAGGCTGCATGGAGCTGCTTGGAGCTCAGGGGCATGGCGAGAGGGTGATTGGAGGCAGGGGGTGCCAAGTGCATATGCGCATGCACACACATGTGGCCGACATACAGCCAGGCAAGGGGGTAGGAGCAGCCCTGGCAGCTGGATATAGGTGAGCCTATGGGACAGGGGGGTTGGAGGGCCAGGGCTTGAGGATTGTCCAGAAGGCTTTGTGTGGGGCATATGTGTGGGTTTGTGTGCAGCAGGGGTGCGTGGAATATGTGGATGTGTGTAAGGATATGTGTGTGAGACTTGTATGAGTGGGAATCTGTGTGTGTGTGTGTGTGTGTGTGTGTGTGTGTGTGTGTGTGTGTGTGTGTGTGCCTGCTGGTGCTGGGGGAAGGTGTCCAGGCACCAGGGCTGCAGTGGAGCAGATGGGGGTCTGAGGCAGCACTCAGTGTTGCCAGTGAGCCCAACTCGGCATTGTTGCCAGCGGGGCTCACCCAGAGGCACCTGCCCCTCCAACAGGGCAAGGGGGCAGGGAGGTCCTTCAGCAGCACCAGGGAACTGTGTGGTCAGAACCACAGGCAGTGGCTGGGGCACCACAAGCTGCCTGGCGCCACTGACTGGGGCTGGGTGCAGCGGGGAAGCGTGGCTCTGGTTGGGCCATGCTGCAGGCAGCTGGAAGAAGGCAAGGGGCTCCAGGCAGTTCAGTGCTGCCAGTGATGGCTGTGGTGGCTCCCACTTGTGCAGGCAGCAGCCAATAGAGTCCGGCCTGGATGTGGGTTGCAGGGAGAAGGGGACAGCAATGGCACCCCCTGCCACAGGCTGGGGCTCCCACACCACACTGTGGCTTAGCCATGCCCACCCAGCCAGCCAGCATACCCCAGCTGTATGTGGCCCCCCTGCCCCTGAGAGCATGGGCACTGGCCCCCAGCAGCCTGGGCACACAGCTCCCTGCTGTCCCAAAAGGACCCCCTCACCCCTTTCCCTTGCTGGAGTCCTGTGTGTCCGTATGGGGCCTTCCAGGGTGGGGGGTAGCTGGGGACCCCTCTGGGAGGGCTGGGGAAGCTGGGGACCCCTCTGGGAGGGCGCCCCCTCCAGGAGAACTGTGGGTTGGGAGTGAGGGGCACCAGCAAGGACAGGGTGCTGCGGGGTGGGAGTGAGGGGCAGAGGCAGGGCATTGGCATGTCAGGACTGC